CGATGGATCGCCTAAGTAAGTAAGTATATCCAGTCTGATTATCCACACACCTAAAACCCATTGTTGTGTAACTGGCCCAAAGCAGCTGCCTCATATAAACTTGTTGGTAAAGTCACTTCTGATGAGGTTATAGCAGGCTCTCCTGCCATGTTGCCGAATGCCTGATCACCATTTCCAAAAGCAGTTACTCTACTCTCAAATCAAGAATGGAAAGTGGAACTGCATTAACAGTGGTGAGGTATTGAGACTTGGCTTTTCGATCAGAAAAAGGAGGAAGTTTACAAACAAAGAAAGCTCTTTGGCAGGGAGATGGAGCAACAGCCCCGCCCAGTGGCTGGAACCGAGCACAGCCTCCAAAGTTGTCGAAAGATGAGAAAACCTATACAAAGCCCTTTTGATGTTCTGTCTTGTCATTGTTATAATTGGCATTGTATGTTTGCCATATATATGTTCTGTGGTCCATCCTGAGTCCCTCTGGGGGTGAGAATGGCAGAATATAAATACTGTAAATAAATAAATAAATACGTGCGAAGTTCACGCTGTAATATGCTACTAAATGTTAAGGGCATGAACACCGCTGCGATTCATCGCAAAATTGTTTTAGTTTATGGAGAGGATGTAATGTCAAGACAGCATGTGACAAAATGGGTATGGAACATATTGTGACACCATGAAGAAACTTCGCAGAGCCATCCAAAATAAACGTCATAGGATGCTGATGGTGGAAGTCTGTCTCCTTTATGACAATGCGTGTCCGTACACCGCTCATGCAGCACAAGAGTTTTTGACTTCATTTGGTTGGGATGTTTTAAGCCTCCCCTCTCACAGCCCCGATCTCACACCCAGTGACTATCATCTGTTCACCAAATTGAAGGAGCACCTGGGTGGAAAACACTTTTCCAATGATAAGGAAGTAAAAATCGAAGTAACAAAGTGGCTGAAATAGGCAGAGGGAAATTTCTATGACACAGGCATCGAAAACTCATCCCACGGATGACAAAATATATTGAACTGAATAGTGATTATGTGGAAAAGTAAGGTAATACCTATGTTACAATCTATATAAGTCAAATTAAAATATATTCACTCTTTGTATTCTTATTTTCCGGATAACCCTCGTAATATACACAGCTCAAATATTCCAACACTTTACTGCTGCTGCTTCCTTTGTTTCTTGGTATCGATTGCCTGAAGCTGACCCTGTTATCATCACATCTTGTGTCAGTAAATTCCGGAAGAAACTATCTACTGTCTATCAAAATGCCTTTCCTAAGGAAACCCATTGGGTGAGCAAATCACACACTTCCAGTCCCAGAATATCCCATGACAGGGTCACCATAAGTCAGAAATGACTTGAAGGCACACAACTACAAAAATGATCCCAGTCCTAGACTTTCTCCATCAATTGGATGGTCCCTCCTTCAGGTTCCAAAATGCTACCCAGTTTCATGAAACCATCCACGCCATTATAGCCTTTTTCTGTCAAGTATTCGATTTAAATCCTAAATGACAAACCCACATGTAGTTCCATCTTGTCTCCTGCATATGGCATCAGCTGGGGACCCTCTCCCATGGCACCAACTGCTGCACTGGGCCAGAGTGAAGAGAGAGAGGGTCAGGGGACAGTTCCATCTTGTCTTCTGCATATGGCATCAGTTGGGGACCCCTCCCCCAGCACCAACTGCCGTACTGGGCCAGAGTGAAGAGAGGGGGGCCAGGGGACAGTTCCATCTTGTCTCCTGCATATGTCAGTTGGGGACCCCTCCCCCCAGCACCAAGTGCCGCTCTGGGCCAGAGTGAAGAAAGAGGGGGCCAGGGGACAGTTCCATCTTGTCTCCTGCATATGTCATCAGTTGGGGACCCCTCCCCCCAGCACCAACTGCCACTCTGGGCCAGAGTGAAGACGGGGGGCAGGAGACAGTTCCATCTTGTCTCCTGCATATGTCATCAGTTGGGGACCCCTCCTCCCAGCACCAACTGCTGCTCTGGGCCAGAGTGAAATGAGGGGGGGGCAGGGGACGATTCCATCTTGTCTCCTGCATATGTCATCAGTTGGGGACCCTCTGCTGCTCTGGGCCAGAGTGAAGAGAGGGGGGCAGGGGACAGTTCCATCTTGTCTCCTGCATATGTCATCAGTTGGGGACCCCTTCAACTGCCACCCTGGGCCAGAGTGAAGAGAGAGGGGGCCAGGGGACAGTTCCATCTTGTCTCCTGTATATGTCATCAGATGGGGACCCCTCCGCTCTGGGCCAGAGTGAAGAGAGAGGGGGCCAGGGGACAGTTCCATCTTGTCTCCTGCATATGTCATCAGCTGGGGACCCCTCCCCCAGCACCAACTGCCGCTCTGGGCCAAGTGAAGAGAGGGGCAGGGGACAGTTCCATCTTGTCTCCTGTATATGTCATCAGATGGGGACCCCTCCGCTCTGGGCCAGAGTGAAGAGAGGGAGGGCAGGGGACAGTTCCATCTTGTCTCCTGTGCTATGCTAACAATATAATATAATGATATATAATGAAATATAATATATTGTATATGCATATAATATTTATAATATTATAATGTAATGCAATATAATACTAATAATAAAAATATAACATACATATATATATATATATATATATATATATATATTACATGTAGTATTACTAATAATATTACAATATAATGGTATAGTACAATACAGTAATATTTAATACTGATATTGTATTATGCTAATATATATAGTAAGCTCCTCTGAGTCCCCTTCAGGGTGAGAAGGGTGCCATATAAATGTAAATAAATAAATAAATAAATAAATAAATAAATAAATAAATAAATGTAGCAATTTAAGATCTTCAGTGAAAGACTTCCATTTTTTTTTTGCCAGCCTTCTAATCATGATATCACAGTCCCTTAATGTTTGCAGCCTGGTTGGCAAGACAACATTCTCAGAAACCGAAGAAGAACACTACATTGTGACATCACAGTTCTTTAGTGCTTGCTTCATCTTCATCGAGGCCAGCCAATGGCTTTCGTACTGCGTGAAAGTATTAAGTAAATGACCCAGATACCATTAGGGTATCCGGATGGTGTGAAGTTTCCATAGCAGGAACTCTTGCCTCTTCTCAATCAAAGTCATGGCTGAAAGAAACTGGAAAGCGTTGGGGAGCACGGACTGGCTTGAGGCCAAACGGGCAAAAGCGTTGAGGGTGTCCAATGACAGGGAAGCATTGCAGGTACGGAGAAGGCCTTCTGTTTTCTTTGGATGTTTTTTCTAGTTGCTGGAGTATTGGTGACAAAAGTCTGCTTTCATCTGAGATGCTTAGATAGCAACACTACTTCCCTATTTGGGTCATGCCCCCAGTAGAAATGCTCCTGTCTTCCCAGGAGAATTCATTGTGTGGGTAGAAGATAAGCTAACATCCACTGCATGCAATGAAGATCAAGATAGGATGCACTGGGAAATTATTTAAATGTTTCCACAGTAATTTAAAGAGATATTTTTACCTGTCCCTTTCTTGGTTGGTATCTTGGCTTCTATGTCACCAAGGATATCTGCTAGACCTTGGACCTGTCAAACATTAGGTCCATGCTTCTCAACCTGGGGGGTTGGGAGCCCTCGAGGGGGGGGGTAACAAGGGGGTGTCAGAGGGGTTACCAAAGACCATTAGAAAATACAGTATTTTCTGTTGGTCATGGGGGTTCTGTGTGGGAATTCTGGCCCAATTCTATCATTGGTGGGGTTCAGAATGCTTCTTGATTGTAGATGAACTATAAATCCCAGCAACAACTCCCAAATGTCAAGGTCTATTTTCCCCAAACTCCATCAGTGTTCCCATTTGGGCATATTGAGTATTCGTGCCAAGTTTGGTCCAGATCCATTATTGTTTGAGTCCACAGTGCCCTCTGGATGTAGGTGAACTACAACTCCAAAACTCAAGGTCAATGCCCACCAAACCCTTCTAGTATTTTCCGTTGGTCATGGGAGTTCTGTGTGCCAAGTTTGGTTCAATTCCATTGTTGGTGGAGTTCAGAATGCTCTTTGATTGTAGGTGAACTATAAATCCCAGCAACTACAACTCCCAAATGTCAAAGTCTGTTTTCCCCATATTCCACCAGTGTTCACACTGGTCCAAGTTTGGTCCAGATCATCATTTGAACCCACAGTGCTCTCTGGATGTAGGTGAACTACAACTCCAAAACTCAAGGTCAATGCCCACCAAACCCTTCCAGTATTTTCTGTTGGTGTTCTGTCTGCCAAGTTTGGTTCAATTCCATTGTTGATGGAGTTCAGAATGCTCTTTGATTGTAGGTGAACTATAAATCCCAGCAACTACAACTCCCAAATGTCAAGGTCTATTTTCCCCAAACTCCACCAGTGTTCACATTTGGGCCTATTGAATATCTGTGCCAAGTTGGGTCCAGATCATCATTTGAGTCCACAGTGCTCTCTGGATGTAGGTGAACTACAATTCCAAAACTCAATGTCAATGCCCACCAAACCCTTCCAGTATTTTCTATTGATCATGGGAGTTCTGTGTGGCCAAGTTTGGTTCAATTCCATCGTTTCCCAAAACAGGTTCAACTCCTTTTTAATATAGCCTCTAAATTCAAAGTAAATCCCAGTGTGGATTCACTACTTGTAAACAAGTAGACATATTACACTCCTGGCTCTGCCATTCGTCAGAATGTGGCAGGCTGGTAGCTGCCTCGGGCATCTGATACTGGGATATTGGGCTCCAGTTGATAGCTCTCAAAGTTCTAAAAACAAATCCCAAAATAAATTCACAAAAGCCTGAACTCTGCCTGCCTACTTTTAAAATACCTTAAATGTTTATTTTCTAAGAAGTGTTTCCACCCAAAGGATATTTTTCTGAAAAATATTCTCTTTGCTAGGATTTTTTCTTGTTTCTAGCAAAACATTAAAGTCACTTAATTTTCTGTCTTCAATGATACACCTGAGATTCACCATCACCCAATCTCTTCTACTCAGTTAAAGAGGATTAGGCGGTCCCTCGATTCCATGAAGGTCATGAATGAGAACCTGCTGAAACAAGAGGAGAGAAAAGTGAAGCGGTGGCTCAAGAAACAAGCCCAGGTCTCACCCACGGGATCCTATCAATCATATTATTTTAAGGTAATGTTGCTCTTTGTAAAGACAGGTCAGCAATTTAAAATTGTCTGGGAAGGTCCTGCTCTCGATCCCGCCTGCCTCATAGGCGCGCCTGATGGGGAAGAGAGACAGGGCCTTCTCCGTCGTGGCCCCACGGCTATGAAACTCCCTGCCCAGGGATATTAGATCAGCCCCCTTCCTCCTGACTCTTTGGAAAAGATTGAAAACCTGGCTCTTGAAGCAAGCGTTTGGAACTTCAGCGTGACCAGATAAACTCAAATTGGAATACGAACACAGAATGGCTAAGATGATGTAAACCAGCGTTTCTTAACCTGTGGAACAGTACCCATGGAGGGGTCACAAGGGGGTGTCAGAGTGGTTGTCAAAAACCATCAGAAAGCACAGTATTTCTGTTGGTCATAGAGGTTCTGTGTAGGACGTTTGGCCCAATTCTATCATTAGTGGAGTTTGGAATGCTCTTTGATTGTAGGTGAACTATAAATCCCAGGTGAACTACAACTCGAAAACTCAAGGTCAATGCCCACCAAACCATTCCAGTATTTTCTGTTGGTGTTCTGTCTGCCAGGTTTGGTTCAATTCCATCATTAATGGAGTTCAGAATGCTCTTTGATTGTAGGTGAACTATAAATCCCAGCACTACAACTCTCAAATGTCAAAGTCTATTTCCCCAAAAGTCCACCAGTGTTCACATTTGGGCATATTGAGTATTCATGCCAAGTTTGGTCCAGATCCATCATTGTTTGGGTCCACAGTGCTCTCTGGATGTAGGTGAACTACAACTCCAAAACTCAATGCCCACCAAACCCTTCCAGTGTTTTCTGTCAGTCATGGGAGTTCTGTGTGCCAAGTTTGGTTCAATTCCATTGTTGGTGGAGTTCAGAATGCTCTTTGTAGTTTAGCTATAAATCCCTGCAACTGCAACTCCCAAATGACAATATTAATCCCACCCAACCCCACCAGTATTCAAATTTTGGTGTATTGGGTATTTGTGTAATATTTTGTCCAGTGAATGAAAATACATCCTGTGTATCAGATATTTAGTTACATTACAATTCATAACAGTAGCAAAATTAGAGTTATGAAGTAGCAACAAAAAATAATATTATGGTTGGGGGGTCACCACAACATGATGGGGTCATGGCATAAGGAAGATTGAGAAACGCTGCTCTAGACAAAGGTGGCTAATTCTCTCACACCAGAAGCGACTTGCAGTTTCTCAAGTTACTCCTGACACAAAAAAAATTTTAAGAAATGGTATCCCTCCTCACTCAATTTGGAGAGATAGCATCAACATCTTTGTGGCAAAAAATCCATAAGGAAAGAGGAAGCATATGCATGCGGTTCAGAATGCCATCATCCAAAAGTCAGTGGATTCTTAAATTGCATCCCTCAATAGAATCCAATGTGGGATGATAGTAAATGGAGCATCATTTATTTACTTATTTGTTTGTTTACGACATTGATATGATGCCCTCTCACCCCAAAGGGGACTCAGAGCAGCTTACAAGATACATACAATTTGTTTGTTTGTTTGTTTGTTTATTTGCTTATTGTATTAATATTCCACCCTTCTCACCCCGCAGGGGCTCATGGTGGATTACAATGTACATAAAGGGTTGTTGTAGGAATTTTTTTTGGAGGGAGGGGGGGCTATTTGGCCATGTTCTAGAGGCATTCTCTCCTGACATTTCGCCTGTATCCATGGCAAGCATCCTCAGAGGTACCTCTGAGGATGCTTGCCATAGGTGCAGGCGAAACATCAGGAGAGAATGCCTCTAGAACATGGTCATATAGCCCGGAAAAAAACAACCCAGTGATTCCGGCCACGAAAGCCTTTGACAATACAATGTACATACATGGCAAACATTCAATGCCATAGACACACAACATATATAGACAGACACAAAGACAATTTAACATTCCAACTTTTCATGAGGGTATTCTGGCCACCAGGGGAGCTGTTGCTTCACCGTCCATTTGTGACACTGATGGAGTACTTCCTCATTCTTTGCAGGCTTGCTAGAGATTTTTATGGCATTGTAAATTAGTTAAATTAGCCTCCTCGCGTAGGTGGTATCTAAATTTCGGACTTGACAGATGCAACTGTCTTTTGGGCTGCAAAGGTCGATAGCAAGCAATACAAATTGGTCGGACACTCACTCCGACCCGGGCTGACTTCAAACTCATGACCTTTTGGTCAGTAGTGATCTTAATGCAACTGACTCCCACCCTGCTGCACCACAAAATATCAGTATTAAATTGGACTATATTGGGTAGCATTGGACTGCAAATCACCCAAGACACGTGACCTCTTTCCATGCTGATTGGAGGATTTCAGAATTATACCACAAGAAAGCTTCTTTCCCAAGCTCTGTGTTTGCCTCACCTGGCATAAACTGCTCCAAAGCTGGCTAAAAACCCATCGTTCCTTCCCCGGTTGCTCCGGAAACTTGGAAGTGAAACAGAAATAAAGAGCTGGGGTGCTTGTTGTTGTTTTCTCAAAGTTAGGCATCACCCTTCCCAGCTTTTGCTCAAAGTGACATGAGAATGTAGCGTGTTGAAATGCACCAATTAAAATCAACCGACACTTCTTTTTCCATTGAACACGGTCCAAGTTTCCCTTCTCTTGTACGGAGATAATTGTCGAGAAGACACCAAAATCCTCTTCATTTGAAACAGAGAAAGGTCTCATCACCAGCCCTTAAGGCCTTTAGATAATATTTTCCTTAAGTGTATTGGATCGGAGTCTCCCAGGGAGTATTTGTCTGTGTTTGCCATCTGTCTCTCACTTCCCCCTGTGAACATGTCTTTTTTTTTTTCCTTTGGGGAAAAGGAAACTTTTCTTTTAAAAGCGGCGTGTTTACCCATCACCAGCTGGCAACCAAAAAAGGAAGCGTGTCTACAATTTGGGTTTGTGTGAGTGGGGGGCATTCAAGTGCCTTACGCTTCTCCATTTAGAATGTATCACAGTAAAGACCAGGCATCTGTTACCATTAACATCAGAAAGCTGTCTCATTGGAACAAACCAAAATGTCACTAAGCCTCACCTTCCACTTCCAGAAAAAGGCAGTCAAATGCCTTTCTCAATCTGTTGTTCTTCAAAAGATAAGAGATGATGGAAAAGGTTTCCCCTGACATTACGTCTAGTTGTATCCGACTCTGAGGGGTGGTGTTCATCTCCATTTCTAGGTTGAAGAGCTGGCAATGTCCATAGACACCTCCAAGGTCATGTGGCCAGCATGACTGCATGGAGTGCCGTTACCTTCCCGTAGAAGTGGTACCTATTAAATTACATTTGCATGTTTTCGAAGTGCTAGGCTGGCAGAAGCTGGGCTGACAGCGGAAGTTTTCATGTTTTCAAATTGCTAGGTTTAAGATCTTCTGAGGAGGCCCTGCTCTTGGTCCCACCTTCTTCTCAAGGGTGATTTGTGGAGATGAGAGACAGGGCCTTCTCCGTGGTGGTCCCTCGGCTATGGAACTCCCTCCTTAGTGACATCAGGCAGGGCCGTAGCCAGAAAAAAATTTCGGTGAGGGTTGAAACTTTTTTTAGCAAATCATGAAGAGTAGTTCGATAACACAACAACAATATTTTTAATACGGTCCAAAGACCCTTATTGCTCCATAAAAGGTATAAGATACAAGGTATGCAAGGTTAGTAAGGCCAAAACTGATTAAAACACACGATGTGGGTGGAATTAACAGCAGATAAAACTGATAAAATAAGGATTAAAATTTATAACCAGCATTTAAGATAGCAATGACCTAGGTAAAAGGCTACAAAGGGTAACAGGCATGTTTCATTGTGCCATAACATAAAATACTGAAAATTATATGGTTTTAAGTGTGTTTTATACAGACTTCATTAAATCACATTTCTATTTTAGTTAAACTTTCAAGTCTTAAAATAACTGAACATGATTGCTAATGGATAATTTATAGTTACAAAAGAGTACCACAACGTTTGTTAGAAACACTTGAAAACTGTGTCAATACACTTTCACAGAAATCAGGCTCTATTGATAAACTTCGGTGGACACTCAAGAGTGCAAGTCCAGTCAGTCTTTCTTGCCTCATTGCCCTTCTTGTTTATGTTTTCAGACGTTTAAGGGTTGGAAACGATCTTTCATTTGTAGCTGTTGACACTGGCAATGTTGCAGAAATCTGAAGACGTTTCGTCACATTCGGTAAAAACTGTCCATCACAGACAAGATAAGATATGCTTCCAGTGCATTTGATGGTTTTTCTGCAGGTGCAATCTCATAGACTTAGCATGGGGATTTGGTTAACCAGTTAAAATTCATGAGTAAAACAGGGGATTTTTAACGTGAAAATTTGGGTGGGGGGTTGAACCCCAACACCCCCCCCCCTCCGCTACAGGCCTGGGCCCCATCCCTTCTGGGTTTTAGAAGAAAGCTGAAGACTTGGCTCTGTGCACAAGCATTCAAATAAAAAGTTTCTACGGTTTCGACACGGTCTGGATTAAGGATTATGAGCAGGGTTTTGGATGAATGGAACGATACACTTTATATGCTTTTTAAATGTTGTATTGTAGCAGCAGATATGAGAGATAATACAAAGAGCAATTCTTTCTGGGAGACAGAAAAATACGTTTATTTTCAGCTGAGACTGTGGTGTGGAATTGCGTCCAAAAGCAAACCAGAGTAAGGATAAAGGCATTGACTTTCCTTTTATACAACTTCAAATGCAGGCAAACAAAGAAACATGCTTCTACATACATAACATCAGCCCTATGTCACCTTAAGCATCATAGAAATATCAAATTCTATCTTCCAACATGCAAGAGGCATGTCTCTATATTTTTTCTAAGAGCAGTTTACAGCTTACACCGATCCATCAAGAGGCCTACTGTGACAGCGCAAGTGGCACCACCTATGTGTTGAACTGTTAGTTGCAAGATTTAAACTGTTGTATTATGCTTAATCCTGACTTTTTACCCTGCTTATGTATAGTTGGATTGATTGGTTATTTATAGCTGCCAATCAGTATTGTTTGGCTCCGCCTCTTCCTGGAGGAGGGGAGTGCTTCCTTTTTTCATTCTGCCATCAGAGTTTCTATCAGATGGACGTGAGTAAGAGACTTGACTCTAAAAGACCCTGATTAAATTACCTCTCAGCACCAATTCTGAGATTTTTTATCCTTGAGACTTATGCTTCATGTTCAGACCAACCTGAACGACGTTGGAAGTTTCAAGCGCCTTCAAACTGGTTCTTTTGGCATCAGAGGAAGATCCTGAGTCTTCAAACATAGGCCATTTGAACTGGGATTGTGGTTTGCTCCAGCATTCACAGCCATTGAGGAAAGAGGAAACTTGGAAAGGCTTCTCAGCTTCAAACTCCTTGGACCCAGGACTAACTGAGACTGTAACGTATATTTTCCTTCACCTCTGTGAAGTTTCCAGCTCATTGCTTTAAAGAAATAACTCTTCGTGAACAATAAAACTTCTTTTGAGTTATTTACAGTGTTTTGGGTATTTGGGAGTTCCAGTTTCCTAAAGGAGGGCAAGAAGCAATCCCCTGGGGGAAGACGTCACGTCCATGCCTCTTTCACTAAGAGCTAAAGCCCCCAGGCGCGACAGCACACCTACTTTGACCTGTCAGAAGGGAGAGAGATTCCTTACTTTTTAGAAGTAAGAAGGTATGACCTGGGCTAAGCTGTACCAGTCTCCGAATAGATAACATGCCCCCCCCCCCCTCCCTTTCAATGCAGATCTCTGTCAGCATTCTTTCTGGCCTGTCAGCTTGGCTTTCTAATACAGAGAGGACCTGATTTTTCTTACATTTCAGTGTGTCTAAAGTATATACAATATATGTATAAATATCTATATTTTCAATATCTCCACATCAGTATACTTTTTATGTGTATTATTGCTTAATGTTAATCATTTTTAACTGTTTAAGTTTTATTGCTATTCCTGGTTTTTACCGGCATTGAATTTTTGCCAGATTTCTAAGCCGCCTTGAGTCCAGGTGAGAAAGCCAAGGTAGAAATGAAGTAAATTAATAAATAAATAGATTGGCAGAAGCAGGGCCTAAAAGTGGGAGCTCACCCCCCTCCTCAGATTCGAACCGCCAACCTTTCAGCCAGCAAGTTCAGCAGCTCAGCGGCTTAACCTGCTGCACCACCAGGGAAAGAAGTACCTGGCAAAAAAGAAAGAAGTAGCTCTGCACTAGGAAAACCCTATGAAATGCATGTTGCTATAAGTCAACAGATGATATCAAGGCAGATATACACACAATAGTTTTGTTTCTTTTAGAATAATGGGATGAGATTAACTTGGATGATTGCAACATGATAAGGAAAGGAGCTACACTTGTATTATTGAAATACAAGGTGTATTGAAGCCTGATGTTTGAAAAGCAGGATAGATATCTAATACCCAGATAAATAAGTAATGAAACACCTTCCATATGTTCGTTTCAAGTCATCCAGCTATCCTGAGTCGAGTCAAGATCTAACCACCGACACACAGCCACTCTCTGTGAAAGACTCCATCGACATGCCTTGGAGCCAGTTTGGAGACCACTTGCCCAGTTTTGTGAGCTTTCTTCGACTGCCAACCAAAAGGCCAAGCTGCGGTAAGGAACACCATTATTCTTGAACTCTCTGTTTCCTTTTCTGGGTCTCCTCCAGTTTTGAAGTGGAAATGAATTATTATTATTATTATTATTATTATTATTATTATTATTTGAAACACAACAAAATGAGTCCACAGCAGACAAGATCACTCTGCTGGCTGTTGCATTGGATCACACGTCGGACACTTCCCAAGGGTCTAGGACTGTGTGATGTATCAACGAATAATGCGTGCAGATCCCAGTAGGGTGGCCTTCTGCAGCTGGCAGATGGTAATTTTGTCAGTGCCAATTGTGTTTAAGTGCAGACCAAGGTCTTTAGGCACTGCACCCAGTGTGCCGATCACCACTGAGACCACCTTGACTGGCTTGTGCCTGAGTCTTTACAGTTCAATCTTTAAATCCTCATATAGTGTCAGCTTTTCAAGTTGTTTCTCTTCAATCCTGCTGTTGCCTGGGATTGTTGTTGTTGTTGTTGTTGTTATTATTATTATTATTATTATTATTACCTGCCACATGTTGCTGTAGCCCAGTCTGTTGATCTGGAAAATAAAGTAATGAGAAAGTGTTGGTTTCTAATATATGCAATGGGTAAACAGTATTTCTTGCTGTTAGTTTGTCAGTGTTGATGTGGAAAGTGTCTGGTTTGCCCACCATGGAACATGCAAGATATCATTGTCCTTCTTTAAGGGTCCCTTTCAAATCTATGATACTATATCTCTCTCTGTGTGTGAATCCTATCTATGTATCTTTCTATATGTATGGCTGGACAGGCTCTTTGTCAGGAGGATTTTGATTACGTTTTCTTGCCCTGATGAAGGGAGTTGGATTGGATGGCCTTAAGTATTTTCTGTTGGTCTTGGGGGTTCTGTGTGGGAAGTTTGCCCCGATTCTGTCGTTCGTGGGGTTCAGAATGCTCTTTGATTGTAGGTGAACTGTGAATCCCAGTGACTACAACTCCCAAATGTCAAGGTCTATTTCCCCCAAACTCCATCTGTGTTCATATTTGGGTGTATTGCGTGCTTGTGCCAAGTTTGGTCCAGATCCATCATTGTTTGAGTCCACAGTGCTCTCTGGATGTAGGTGAACTACAACTCCCAAACTCAAGGTCAATGCCCACCAAACCCTTCCAGTATTTTCTGTTGGTCATGGGAGTTCTGTGTGCCAAGTTTGGTTCAATTCCATCGTTGATGGAGTTCAGAATGCTCTTTGATTTTAGGTGAACTATAAATCCCAGCAACTACAATTCCCAAATGACAAAATCATAATTTTTTGAGTGATGGTCACTCCTTGTGTTGTGAGGTCTTATGTCCAAATTTGGTGTCAATTCATCCAGTGGTTTTTGAGTTCTATTAATCCCACAAACGAACATTACATTTTTATTTATATAGATTATTATTATTATTTGAAACACAACAAGATGAGCAGACACTCTGCTGGCTGTTGTATTGGATCACACGTCGGACACTTCCTATTATTATTATTATTATTATTATTATTATTATTTGGGGTACTTTGAATGCGATTTTCTTGCTTCTCGGCAGGAGGTTGGACTGGATGGCCCACAAGGTCTCTTCCAACTCTATGATTCTAATAATACCCTATTTATACCCTGACATCATCTTCCTTGAAGGGAGATGACAGAGCGAAGCAAAATGCATCAGCTCCATCTTCTACACAGATCAAGCTTTCATATCTTCTCTTAATGTTCACCAGAACATAGAAGTCATGCATAACAAGTAACAACATTATCTAAAATGCATTGCTTGGGTGGTGGGACTAATAGCATTCATAATAAACTTTTAAACATAATATGACAGCTGGTAATTTTTGACATAATGAATGATACGTATTTGTTTCCCTTTGGGGTCATTAATGTGGATTGAGGGACATTTTCAGAAATAGGCAGCTGGCATCCTGTTAAGCAGTTGTGACATAAATTTTTAATGCTGTTTAAATATTTTGATTATGCAGGTTGTTTTGACATTTAAACTATATTGTAATTATTTTTTCTGCCTTTTTTCTCTTTTCCTTCATCTTTTTTAAAATGAGAATGGACAGAATTTTCTTTTTCTGGTTGTCCTCTCTTGTCTTCATCACATTTAATATAAAGTGAAGAGTTAGACATAGATTACAAAGGCTGTTTATTATTAATATGACTATGATATATAGAGGAGCCCCCGGTGGCGCAGCGAGTTAAACCACTGAGCTGCTGAAACCTGCTGACTGGGGAGTGGAGTGAGCTCCCACTCTTAGCCCCAGCTTCTGCCAACCTAGTAGTTCGAAAACATGCAAATGTTAGTAGATCAATAGGTACCGCTCCGGCGGGAAGGTAATGGCACGCCATGCAGTCATGCCAGCCACATGACTTTGGAGGTGTCTATGGACAACTCCGGCTCTTCAGCTTGGACATGGAGATGAGCACCACCCCCTAGAGTTGGACATGACTAGATTTAATGTCAAGGGGAAACCTTTACCTTGACTTTTTATGACATACTAGCTGTACCCGCCACGCATTGCTGTGGCCAACCTTCCCTCTTTCTCTCCTCCCTTCCCTCTTTCCTTCCTTTCCTCTTTTTCTTTTCCTATCTCTCATCTTTCTTCCATCTCTACCTGTTTCTTTCCTCCCTTTCTTTGCTCTTTGGTTACATCCTTCCTTCCTTCCTTCCTTCCTTCCTTCCTTCCTTCCTTCCTTCCTTCCTTCCTTCCCTATCTTTCGTTCCTTCTCTCCTTCCTTCCCTCTCTTTTTCCTTTCACTTTTTTATTTCCTTCTCTCCTTCCTTGCTTCTCTATCTTTCTTTCTTTCCTTCTTTCCCTCCCTCCTTCTTTCCTTCCCTCTTTCCCTCCTTCTCTCGTTACTTCTTGACTGTCCCTTCCATTTAATATTGTATTTATATCTTACATAGAAAGAAGGAAAGGAAGAAGGAAGGAAGGCGGGACAGGAAGGAAGGAAGGAAAAAGGAAGGGAGGGAGGGAAAGAAGGGAAGGAAGGAAAAAAAGAAGGAGGGACAGGAAGGGAGGGAGGGAAGGAAGGAAGGAGGAAGGAGGGAAAGAAAGGAGGGGGATGAAGAAAGGAGGGAGGGAAGGAAATGAAGGGGAAGGAAATGAAGAAAGGGAAAGAAGGAGGAAAGAAAGGGAGGGAGGGAGGAAAAGAAGAAAAGGAAAAAGGAAGGAGGGACAGGAAGGAAGGGAAGGAGGGAAAGAAGGAAAGGAAGGAGAAGGAAAGAAGAAAAGGAAAGAAAGGAAAAGGAGGAAGGAAGGGAGGGAGAGAAGGAAGGTCCTTCATTCAAACACTGTGGACCTTCCTCGCCTCCTCCTCCTCCTCCTCCTCCTCCTCCTCCTCCTCCTCCCCTTCTTCCTTGCGTGGAGCACTCCGTTGCTGCTGCTGGCACTTTCCAACAGGGAAAGGAGGAGGAGACTGCTCTCCTGACATAGGAGGGGAAGAGAAGGGGCTGCATGCAGCAAGCCTCCACCTCCACTCCACTCACTTGTGTGTGTGTGTGTGTGTGGCCTTGCACATGCGCCTGGCTTTAACGGCGGGCTGTTTCCCCGCGAGGAGGAGGGGGCGTGGCCATGGGTCTCGGTAGACATGCAGTTTCTCCTTTATGGACATGCAGTTTAGAAGTCCTTTCTGCTTTTTGTTTTCATTGTTTTTTGAGTGGAGAACATACATTGAGTTGTTAGGGACATAGTGTCCAAATTTGGTGTCAATTGCCCCAGTGGTTTCTGAGTTCTGTGAATAGCACAAACGAACATTACATTTTTATTTATATAGATGGATTATTGCTGTTCCTATACTACTCAAGATAAAATAATTAAAAACACTATCAGGTGCCACATGGTCCCGTAATGGACAAAAAATGTCACTACTGGACCCTTCCTGTAATGGCCATCCAACCAAGCTGAACAAGCCGGATTGGCCAAAGGAAACTGACCACTCCAAATCTCTGCACATTCCTAGAAAGTAACACTTTTCTTTGTTTTTTATACAGACCGGAAGTCTTCCAAGGATCTCACACCATTCAGTGGAATAGATTTGCCCATGCAAACCCTTTCATCTCGAAGTATCATTCCTCGAAGCAGCGTTTCCAACATGTCTCATGCTAACAGAGACTCCTGGAAGGCCAGCATCTCCAAGCAACCTAGTCTCAACAACAGCATATCCGTCCAAGAAGCCATGGCCTTATTTCCTTCCTTGCAAAGGTTGTCGACAAGAGGAGACAAGCTCTCACTCTCAATGGCCCATCTTCCTAAACCGATTTCTGGGTTCCCATCACTACAGAGAAAGATCAAGAACATTATGGAGAAGGAGCGAGAAGTCGAGAAGTTTAAGCTGTTTGAGCCATTGCCTCAGATCAAACCTGAAGAAATCTTGAGTTGCAGGTCAGAGACAAAACTAAGGATGCATAAGAGAACCACATTTTTGGTACAACTCTCCAATTCCAATGCTGGGTTGAGGACTCAGAGAATTGTACTCCAAAACTATGTATGGGATCTACAACTGTGGTTGTCAGGTTTCTAGATCCCAGGGAATTATGCTTTTTCCATGTCTTTGGGCAGGAAGAAAAATCTTAAAGGAAGCAGCAGTGAAGGGAAAAGCCTGGTTTTGTACTATAACAGTAACAGTAATAACAATAATATTTTATTAATATCCCATTCTCTCTCCCCAAAGGGACTCAGGGCAGATTATAACAAAAGGCGGCAAACATTCAATGCCAGATCCAAGACGTAAATACAAACATAAAGCAATCAGTTAATCTACATCTAAAATAATAGACATTAAATATAAACAATCCACATAATTACAACCATATTAAGTGCTTAGTAGGTTTTACTAGGTCTTAAAGGAGCCTCCAGTGGTGAAGGGGTTAAACCCCTGTGCCGACATGATTGAAGACAGACAGGTCGCAGGTTCGAATCAGGGGAGAGTGTGGATGAGCTCCCTCTATCAGCTCCAGCTTCCCATGCGGGGACATAAGATAAACCTCCCACAATGATGATAAAACATCAAAACATCCGGGCATCCCCTGGGCAACATCCTTTCAGATGGCCAATTCTCTCACACCAGAAACAACTTGCAGTTGTTTCTGAAATTATTTTCTTTGTTACTTCATAACTGTCATTTTGCTACTGTTATGAATCGTAATGTAACTATCTGATGTGCAGGATGTATTTTCACTCACTGGAACAAATTTGGCACAAATACCCATACGTCCAAATTTGAATACTGGTGGAGTTGGGGGGAAATTGATTTTACCATTTGGGAGTTGTGTTGTTGTTGTTCACTTGTTTAGTCAATTCTGACTCTTCGTGACCTCATGGACTAGTCCACGCCAGAGCTCCCTGTTGGCCGTCACCACCCCCAGCCTCTTCAAGGTAAAGCCAGTCACTTCAAGGATGCCATCCATCCATCTTGCCCTTGGTCGGCCCCTATTCCTTTTTCCTTCCATTTCCCCTACCATCACTGTTTTCTCTAAGCTTTCTTGTCTTCTCATTTTGTGGCCAAAATACTTCATTTTTGTCTCTAGTATCCTTCCCTCCAATGAGCAGTCGGGCTTTATTTCCTGAAGCATGGACTGGTTGGATATTCTGGCGGTCCAAGGCACTCTCAGAACTTTCCTCCAATACCACAGTTCAAAAGCATCTATCTTCCTTCGCTCAGCCTTCCCCATGGTCCAGCTTTCACATCCGTAGGTTACTACAGGGAATACCATTGCTTTTACTATGCGGACCTTGGGAGTTGTAGTTCGTGGGATTTATGGTTCACCTACAATGAAAGAACATTCTGAACTCCACCAACAATGGAACTGAACCAAATTTGGCACACAGAACTCCCATGACCAACGGAAAATACTGGAAGGGTTTGGTGAGCATTGACCTTGAGTTTTGGAGTTGTAGTTCACCTACATCCAGAGAGCACTGTGGACTCAAACAATAATAGATCTGGACCAAACTTGGCACGAATACTCAATATGCCCAAATGGGAACACTGATGGAGTTTGGGGGAAATAGACCTTGACATTTGGGAGTTGTAGTTGCTGGGATTTATAGTTCACCTACAATCAAGGAGCGTTCTGAGCCCCAGCAAGGATAGAATTGGGCCAAACTTTCCACCCAGAACCCCTATGACCAACCGAAAATACTGTGTTTTCTGGTTGTCTTTGGTGACCCCTCTGACACTCCTTCGTAGCCCTCCCTCCAGGGTCCCAACCCCCAGGTTGAAAAATGCTGCCCTAGCTGAATACCAAAATAATGTAGCTGCTTGTTTTTATTTCTTGCATATGTAACTCCACTTATAAGTTCCATACTGAATTCCAGCCATCATGACTACCAAAGTGTGTTTCCTCCTTTTTTCTTTCCACAGGTACCTTCGTTTGTCTCAGAGCAATATTGACACTTTGCTGGACTTATGCAAAGAGTCTGGGATCCATGTAGACTTGCATCCACATATGAAAGAATCGGACATCGACGTCAGCACAGTCCTCTCATCCAGTACCAGCAGAGAACTCTAGACTAAAGAGCACGCCCAAATGTAGTTGTTGTCAAGTTGGGCACTGTTTTCACAGTGGCCCATAAAGTGTGAATTTCCCACTAGTATATGTACTTGGAAAAACCAGACACTTTGGAAATCAAAAGCCTAGTTGACGAGAAAGTAGGGAATTCCTGCAGGATTTAGTGATGCAATGATAAAACAAATCTTGCTCTTGCTGTAAGCTGAAGTTGTTGTTTTTTCTCTCCTTTTGGCAGCAAGAAAAACTGGTAGACAAGTAATTAATTGGGCCAATATATGTTGAATATGTCATTAACTGGACTAAATATTTGAAAGCTGTCACATTAAACGATGCAACCCATTTGTGCACATTCACTTAGATTTGCTTCAAGGCGTGACCAAGGTCTCCAAGATGCTGAACTTGACCCACAAATAGGTCCAGAATTTTCAGTAGGTCCTTTAATGTGTAGCTTGAATTGGTCCATGGCACACTCTGACATTGAGGCCATGAATCATCACTAGATCCCAAACTAGATCCCATCACTAATCATGCCTTGGTTAGACCACAACTGGAATACTGTATCCACTTCTGGGCACCACAATTGAAGAGAGATGTTGACAAGCTGGAATGTGTCCAGAGAAGGGCGACTAAAATGATCAGGGGTCTGGAGAACAAGCCCTATGAGGAGTGGCTTAAAGAGCTGGGCATGTTTAGCCTGAAGAAGAGAAGGCTGAGAGGAGACGTGTATAAATATGTGAGAGGAAGACATAGGGAGGAGGGAGCAAGCTTGTTTTCTGCTGCCCTGGAGACTAGGACGTGGAACAATGGCTTCAAACTACAAGAAAGGCGATTCCATCCGAACATTAAGAAGATCTTCCTAACTCTGAGAACTGTTCAGCAGTGGAACTCTCTGCTCCGGGGTGTGGTGGAAGCTTCTTCTTTGAAGGCTTTTAAACAGAGGCTAGATGGCCATCTGTTGGGGGTTCTTTGAATGCAATTTTCCTGCTTCCTGGCAGGGGGTTGGACTGGATGGCCCACGAGGTCTCTTCCAACTATCATTCTGTGATTCTATAGGTTGGAGTATAGTTGGCTTTGAATTCATAAGTAACCTTCCTTACCCACCCAGTTGGATATTTTAGCAGCGCAATGGCCATATTTAGTTTGTGGTTGCATAAGGAGAGTTCTAGAGTATTACCACTTCATCTGGTAATCCAGTCCCAACTAAAGTACAGTCATTGAATACAATGGAAATACCTAGGAGCATCCAGTGGCACAATAGGTCAAACCCTTGTGCTGACAGGACTGAAGCCAGACAGGTTGGAGGTTCGAATCTAGGGAGAGCACAGATGAGCTCCCTCTGTCAGCTCCAGCTCCCCATGCAGCGACACGAGACAAGCCTCCCACAAGGATGGTAAAACATCAAACATCTGGACATCCCCTGGGCAACGTCCTTGCAGACAGCCAATTCTCTCACACCAGAAGGCACTTGCAGTTTCTCAAGTCGCTCCTGACATGAAAAAAAATCCCTATGTTTTTACTCACCATTCAATAATGAATACAATGGGTCTTCTCTAGTTGCAGCTGATCAATGGAATTCTAGCCATGCAGTTAATATAATAATAACTTTATTTTTGTCCCCACCTCCATCTCCCCAAAGGGACTTGGGGTTGTTTTCATATGGCACAAAGTGCTGAAACAAAGCATAAAATAAACACACAGTACAATACAAAGTAAAAACTATCACACATAAAACAGCAATTTAAGACTCAGAACAATACTCAATGACTTATGGTGACAACTACCATAAGCCATGGTCAAACTGTAATAAAGACAAGGCAATGGGATAGTACAAACTGTATTTAAGGAACAGGGCATGGGATGAAAGTGCAGTGCTGTGCCATTGATTGTGGACAATTGGAGCTAAATGTTTTCAAAGGCTTGCTTAAATATCCAAGTCTTCAGATCCCTATGGAAGAAGGATAGTAGGGAGGGCGTTCCATAGCCAGGGGGCCACCACCGAGAAGGCCCTCTCGTCCCCACCAACTACACTTGTGATGATGGTGGGACTGAGAGAAGGTCTCCGCTGCAGATCTTAACACTCAAGCAGGTTTATGGGGGATGCAGTCATGAAGATAGAAAGGGCCCAAACCGTTCAGTTGTACTGTGTTTTATTTCCTACAGTATGGACTAGTTTGATAGAAGGCACTTCAGCTCCTCCTCACTTTTAGCCATCAAAGTGGTATCATCTGCATATCTGATAATGTTCATTGCAGCAATTTTAACTCCAGCCTTGGATTCATCAATCCCTGCACATCACATGAGGTGTTTTGCATACAAGTTGAATAGGTTGGGTGAGAGAAGACAGCCCTGCCATACTCCTTTCCTAGTCTTGAACCAGCCTGTTGTTCCGCGGTCCATTCTTACTATTGCTACTTGGTTGTTATACAGATTCCTCAGGAGACAGTCAAGGTGACTTGGTATCCCCATACATACCAACAAGAACTTGCCACAAAGGCTTTAGAATAGTCAATAAAACAGAAATACAGTGTTCTCTCACTACTTCAAAGTTCGCTTTTCGCAGACTCGCTGTTTCACAGGGTTTTGCCTCCCAGTTTATGAATGGTTGCCATTACCCAGAGTGGCATTCTAATCCTGCCTCCTGGCAACGATGGAGGAGAGGCAGCCAATCAAGAGAAATTGCAATGCAAACTAAATAACTAGTGAAAGAAAAAAGGTACACGGTGCCTTTAAATCTGTCCTCGCTTCTGCCTCACCCTCGGAATTTGATATACATTTATTTATTTATTTATTTATCTATCTATCTATTTATTTATTTATTTATTTATTTACCATAAATAAATAAATAAATAAATAAATAAAGGCAACTCAAGGCTGTTTACAATTGGCAATCAATGCCACCAACAACATAAAATATAATTATAAACATTAACATATAATGTAGACCATATAAAAGTATAGTATGTTGTATGTACATATGACTTGTAAGCCGCTCTGAGTCCCCTTCGGGGTGAGAATGGTGGCATATAAATGTTGTAAATAAATAAATAAATAAATAAAAGCAGTAGAAACAATAAAAGCCATAAAACACAAGTCCTCAGCGTCTCATTACTAAAATCATCTTCCCGTTGCATCGTCCAATCATTCCGTGGATCTAGATTAGTCTGTTACACTGCGCAAATGCTTGCTCAAAGAGCCAGGTTTTAACACTTTTTCGAAATGTCAGGGAGGAGGGTGCCGATCTGATATCCCTAGGTAGGGCGTTCCATACCGAGGGGCCACCACTGAGAAGGCCCTGTGTCTCATTCCCGCCAATTGCATCTGCGAAGGAGGCAGGACCGAGAGCAGGGCCTCTCCAGATGATCTTAAGTTCCTAGCTGGTTCATATGTAGTGTCTCACTTTGCGGATTTTCACTTTTTACGAGTGGTCCTGGACCATAACACCCACAATAAGTGAGGGAACACTGTAGATGCTTTTCTGAAACTCCATTATCCATTATATTGCCAATTTGGTGTCTCGTTCCTCTTCCTTTTCTAAACCCAGATTGTACAACTGGCAACTACCAACAGTAAAAGCAATCAGGCCTGTGAATCTATTGCATATATACATATGTGTGTATGTGTTTGTGTATTTCTACATATGGTTTAACCCAGTTAAATTGAACCAGATATTTCAATTTAAATACAAGTGCCTTTACTTTTCAAAGTACAAACCAAAAAGCGGAACTTAACAGGTAGACTTTAAGAACTACGCAGAAGTAAAAAAAAATAAAAATAACATTGGCATATATGTGCCAATTCTTGCATATCGCCACCAGATGGGGCTCAATAATAACTGAAACAAACTATTATGTATATATGTTTTACAGCCATTTCCTCATTTGCCTTATTAGCAGCTTTCACACATATACAAAAAGGAAATCTATTCACTGACTCCCTCTCATCCTTCAAGTTTGAATAGCCACTAATGTGGCAATTGAAGGACTTTTGGAAAATCATAATGGCTTCCAAAACTGCACATTAAAAATTGTCGTAAGTGGCTTGGAAATGGCAGCATCGGTTTTGTATTACAGTGATCCATTCACATTTGTGGGTTTGACTTTGGTGGATTTGATTATATTCACAGATCTGATTAAAAATGTTCTCCCTAGGACAGTGTTTCTCAAACTTCCTA